GAATGCAATCAAGAACCATTTGAGCATCCCCGTCGCCAGCATTCGTGAAAGACGTCCGTGGGCAATTCGAACGCGTAGCAGCCTTTTCGAGTTTTCGAATTTCTAATCAAAACGAAAGCAATACTTCAGTTCTTTTCACTCGTGGATAATGAGTCTCAAGCCAGTGATTTATGGCTGAAATAGAATCATGATTTTTCCGCGCAAGATTCCTTTAATCTGATTTATACATTGTTCGATGTTCCTGAACTGTTTACAAATTCTCAAAGCCGGAAAACAATACGTGCTATCATTGATAAAATTGTTGATAGATTAATGTGATTCATTTTTGAAAAAAAAAAAAAAAGATACGGTGGTGCTCATACAACGGGCGGTCCGCATTGTGTTAAAAGAGTTGAGAAAGTTGAACTGGAAAAAATGGAAAGAACTTGCCTTCATCCTTGGCAACAGTGTGTCGCTTTTCCTCAATTTGAAATTGTTTTCACCCCTACTCAATTTCAACTTCAGAGAATTGCTTCCAACTCCATTATCCAAAAGACCTGGAAATTGTCAAGAGTTCTGACTACATTGTTCGTAGATAGAACGACTATTATGTTAAGATCTGCTTGATCGCTTTCGAACAATCCGTCACGATATAGAAGTAGGTGTGAAATGCAGAATTGCACGAAACATACTTAATCCCTGGATGCTTCCAATTCTCGGAGGTGCTATGGCCTGTGTGCGTCGATCGGAGACAGCAGGAGCACCAACCTTCTCCGATAAGGATGCTTTTGGCGGTGAGCGAAAGTGACCCCTGATCACCCAATGTTGTCCTCTCGCCTGCAAAAAACATAATTCGAACCCCTCATGAAAAATAGCTCAGAAGGCCATGACGCGTATTCATGAGTAGAATACGCTCAAAAAAAATCAGGAAAAAGTACGAGACCTGGATACCTTAGTTGGAGTCGCCAGCTGTGGACGTCTCTTTTTGAATGGGAGGTCATCAGTAGTATTTTTGTCTGCTGAAACATCTGGCTCTTGTGGAGTGGTCGAAAATAACGTGGTCATTGAAGTGGTTGAACTCCATTCACTAGTCGTGTCAGCACCACGGGTAATTATTTCGGTCATTGGAGAAGTAGCTGTTGCTGTAGATAGAACGAGTGAATTTGGCATTGTAGATTCCATGGAGTCCGTAGCTGAGGAAGTGGGATTCCCAGCAATGGTATCGTTGACAAGCCTTTGTACAGTAGCGTCAATGAGGGTTGTTGTCAAAGATGAGGTTGTTGTTGTGAGTGGGAGATGTTGTTTGCTCTTTCTTGGTGAATCAGGCTTTATCTGGAATGAACTAATTAGGCTATGGCCTCAGGAATCTTCCAACTTGATAGCAAAACTTGAAAATTGAGTACTTCTTAACAAACTGCTTCAATCTGCGGATCAGATACTGTAACCTCTACAGCGGTCATCCAAACTATTCCACAGTAAGTGGTTGGTTCTTCTTCAATGTTAAGCTGAATTCGGAGTGGGTAGTTCTTGAGGTTCCCATACCTAACTTCCTAGTTAGTTTCCCCT